GTCATCAACAGTCCTATCAAGCAGCACCTGCACAGAAATAACCTGCTCAGTGATACCCAGTTTGGGTTCCACCAGGGCTACTCAGCTCCTGACCTCATTACAGCCTTGGTTCAAACATGGACAAAAGAGCTGAATTCCAGAGGTGAGGTGAGAGTGACAGCCCTTGACATCAAGGCTGCATTTGACTGGGTATGGCATGAACAAGACCCAGCAAAACTGGAATCAATGGGCATTGGGGCAAACTTGCTTGGAATCAGGCCTAGTACGTAGGATGACGGTTGTGATTGTTGGAGGTCAGTCATCTCAGCTCTAGGACATCTCTGCAGGAGTTCTTTAGCATAGTGTCTTGGGGCCAACCATCTTCAACTGCTTCATCAATATCCTTCTCTCCATCATAAGGTCAGAGGTGTGGATGTTCACTGATGATTGCACAATGTTCAGCACCTTTCACAACATCTCAGATACTGAAGCAGTCCATGTTCATATGCAACAAGATCTGAATAATATCCAGGCTTGGGCTGACAAGTAGCAAGTTCCATTCCACACAAACTCCAGACAATGATCATCATCATAAGAGACAATTTAACCACTGCACCTTGACATTCAATGGTGTCACCTCACCAGCATTGCTTCTCCCACTGTCAATATCCTGGTGAGGGATATTACCATTGACCAGAAACTCCATAGTACTCACCATATAAATACAGTGGCTACAAGAGCAGTTCAGAGGATGGAATCCACTTGCCTGGATGGATGCAACTCCAACAACAAGAAGCTTGACACCTTCCAGGACAAAGCAGCTCACTCGAATGGCACCAATTTTGCCAATATCCCCTCCCTCCCACCAAAACTCCGCAGTAGCAGTGTGCCTCATTTACAAGATGCACCTTCCAAACTCACGACCACTTCCACCTAGAAGAGCTAGGGCAGCAGATAAATGGAAACATTACCTTCTGCAGATTCTCCTCAAAGCCAATCACCATCTTGCCTAGGGAATACATCCCCAATCCTCCACTGTCGCATGGGTCAAAATCTTGAAATTTCCTCCCTAAGGACATTGTGTGATCTACCTATAGCACATTGTCTGCAGCGGTTCAAGCAGGCAGCTCGGTACCACCCTCTCAAGGGCAACTATGGATGGGAAATCATTGCTGCCCAGTCAGCAACACCTACATTCCATGTGTGAGTAAGAAAAGAACAATAAAAAATTGGTATTAATTACTTACCCTGCATGTAGAAGTTTATGGTTTAGACTGACTTGAATAAAAAATACTTTTTTTCTTTTAAAAAGGGATTGCTGGCAACAGCAGTATTTATTGTCAATGTGTAATCGCCTTTGAACTGAGTGGCTTGCTTCAGAGGGCAGTTAAGCCACAACCACACTGTTGTGGGTCTGGAGTCACATCCACTTCAGATCAGGTAGGAATGGCAGATTTCCTTTCTACACTAACGTTAGTGAACCAGATGGGTTTTTACAACAACCAATCCTAGTTTCGCAGTGACCATTACTGAGACTAGCTTTTCATTCCAGATTTACATATTGAATTCAAAACCTGAAATCGGGGGAAGCCTTTCTTAATGTCAGAAGCAACAAGTTGTATTTTCCAACAGAATTCCTGGCATTGGGAGGAAATGTTCACAGAGGAGCAGCCAGATTCCTATTAATGGGGATTATTGCATGTCATCATCTCTATTAACATTCAATCTCGTCTCATTAATACACAGGTTCATATTATACTACAAGGCAGTTAAAATCTTGACACTGAGAATTCCTGACATGAAAATCTGAGTGCATGCCTGGCAACTGCAGCTTGCTGCTTGCTCTTGCAGATCTCTTTCTTGAACATCTGACACCAAAGGCTTAGGCCATGCTCCATGGGCACTTCTGCACTTTGGGCACACCGCCACCTCTCATTGCAATGCAGCTGTGAGGACATTTTACATGCAGGGACAGACACCCGGCTCATGGATTGAACCCAGTTGCATCTCAGGGGCTGTTTGCTCACTCACCTAGTGTTCACTCACCTTGCACCTACTTGGATGCTCCCAGCATCTCTGCTGTGCCTTAACTTGCCTTACCTTTTATTACAGACACAAAGCCAGGCAGCTTGTCATGGCTGTCAGCAGTCATCAGTCATCTGTCAAGGGGGTGGACATGTTGCTGTATGTCAGTGTTACACCTGCACCTGGTGCCAGTCACCAAATCCTGCAATGGTAGGTGGTGGAATTTGAATTCAATGAATATCTGGAATTAAGAGTCTAATGATGACCATGAATCATTACTGATTGTCAGAAAAAAAGATCCATCTGGTTCACCAATGCCCTTTAGGGAAGGAAACTGCTATCCTTACCTGGTCTGGACTACATGTGACTTCAGACACACAGCAATATGGCTGACTGTTAACTGCCCTCTGGGCAATTAGGGATTTGCAATACATGCTGGCTTAGCCAGTGATACCCATATCCCGTGAATGAAAACGAAAGTGCTGATGTGGCAAATAAAGTGCATGTGTTCAACCGAATAGCTATGTCTCGAAGTCAGAGGGTTATAGTGTTCAGTCACATCAATGGGAATAACCTTCAGTCAGTGGGTCCCAGCATAATAGTCAGGTGCAGTGTCCAGTTTCACTTTAGGGTCTTAGACGTGGTTAGGCGGTCACGTGAGGTGGTCAGTGTCAGGACACTCTCCTCAAAGGCAGTAAGGGACCACATAGTGGACACCTCTCTCTTTCCTATTACGGGTTTTTCCTCCTTGAATGAGAAACAGGATGGGATGAGTGTGATGAAAGTGCTTGGCACAACTGTCAGCACTGGTGAAGGTGAAGGAAAGGTGCTGAAAAGTCCCACGTCAGTGAGTGGGCAATGCAGAGGCCGTGCAGGGCTGGTTGTGTAAACAGTATTGGATGTCAAAGAGTGAGCAAGGGAAGACATTACATTTGATAGTGAGAGTGGTAGGGCTTGAATATTGGTGGCAAGTGGGTGCAGTATCAGAGATAGTGTGAGCATGAGGTAGCAGAGGGAAGATGGTTACACTTAGTGTACATCCTTGCAGAGCAGCAAAGGCCTTCTTGCAGCACTGCTGGGTGTTTCTCTGGATGTCTAACACCACTGAACTGGGTGGCAACTTTGGATAACACTGGCAGATTCTGGTGTAGTGGCCTCCACTGCCAGTTCTGAGGTAAGTGGAAAACCCCTCCTCTGTACAGCCCTGTCTACCAGGCCTTCCAGGTCCCTGCTCCAAAGTAGGGTACCAAATGTCCCTTCTCTTCCAAATGTCATGAACTGTTCATGGCAATTCTGGACTGACTGTGTTTATCCGAGTTCACAATGTCCTTTAAAGATAATGCTGGCATGAGGGACGATGGTCTACTCTGGGATTTCCTGGCAGTGGCCAGTAGTTCCCAGTAGTTCAAGTGGGAAAATTGGGTTAACATTGGACAAAATGGGCATGGTGGCAGGGTGATAGGTAGTTAATGAGATGAGTATGTGTGGTGGCATGAGAAAACTCATTAGGCCCCATGGAGAGAAACCCTCCATAAAATTCCATGGAAGTGAAACTTAGCTAAAATATTGTAAGATTCAGCCCTTTATCACCAGGGCACTGTCTCCTCCGAGTAGCACATGAGGAGGGAAAACTAATGCTGCTTGAATGAAAAAAATGAAAACCTGAATGACAGTAACGTTTGCAACTTTAGGCAATAAAAATCAACATAAACGCTTCGCTCCGAGGTGATTTATGACATTAGATATAGAGCTCCAATGACTGTGGAGTTATAAAAGACTTGAAGTGGCAGCAAGAGAGAAAGTTCAGCTTAGCACCTATATGGTGGGAGATCATTCATCTTTGAAACTTGTCATGAAAATACATGCATTGGACTTCACTTCATTTTTAAGTATAGTGCAGTTCAACACCAACAATAATCTTCAATTTTACCATCTTGAAGTAATTGGTGCTGAGCTTAAAGGCATTCAGCTTATTTGATTGATTAAGAAATCATTCTGTGGTGTAAACAATTAAAATCCCAAACTTGTGTCACTTCGAATCTTTAACAGACAGTAGCTCAGAGCTAAAATGTATTCACCAGTAGTCAGTGGGATTTAAAATCTGACTTTCTGAAATAAAATATAGTTAGCATGTAAATCAGCAATGTTATTATTTAATGGTGATCATATCTGTGGCAAAAAAATGCTAAGGTTGCATCACAAAGATAAAAGCCGGAAACTAAGGCCTGATGTTAAGTTAATAAAAGATCATTAAAGCACTTGGTTGAATAATAATGACAAATCAAACTTATGAAAACCACAGAATCCTTAATTTGTTCCTTATGGACATTTCCCAGATGTAAAACTAATAGAATATTTATTACACTGGATTCATTTAATAATAAATTGTAAGCCTGATAACTAAATTCAAAGTGCTTGAATACAAACGTTACTTAAATGACAAAAATTAAGACTATTTCAAATAGAAAAAAACTGCTCCAACCTACTGATTGAGGTGTTCAAAATTATGAAAAATTTTGACAGGGTAAAGAAGAATATTTTGTTTCCAATAGATGGGATGTCAGTAAATGGGGGTCACAATTTCAAAATTGTCAGCAAGGAAGCTAGGGATGAAATGAGGAGAAATTTCTTTACTCAAAGAGTTGTTTGGATTTGGAATGTGCTGACTGGGAGAGTAGTGGAGGCAAATTGGAGGTTTCAAAAGAGAGCTGGATATATATTTGACAGGGATGAAATTAGAGGGCTACAGAGATAGAACTGGAGAATGGGACTAGCTAGGTAGGTCTTTTGGGAGCCAGTACAGACATGATGGGTCAAATAGCCTCTTTCTGTGCTGTAAAATTCTATGATTCTATTCTATGTTATATTGCAGGTTTTAAATAAATACAAAGAAGTGTCCCATTGATGCATGGTTTAGTTTTTGTGTTTGTAAGTACTGAAATCATTGGAAATAACAACAAATCATGTTTTAGAAATTTGACACAGAATTTACTTACAAGACAAGTTCAGTCATAATCCACTTTATTGCAGCAAAAAAGACATAATAAGGCTGAAGAAAAGAAACTGAATTAGTTTAAGTAGACATGAATATTCTGTTGTTCGTTAATACTGACACATCAGAAATTGACAGAATTCATTTACATCTGGATGTGGACTTCACATAATCATTGACGTTAAGTGCTATACTTTAAAGCAATCATATAGTAAAGTCAGAATGCAGTACATTGCAGATGGTAAAATCTGAAATAAAAACAGAAAATGGTGGAAATAGGTACCAGGTTATAGCACAGGAGAGAAAGATAGTTAATGACCCTGATTTTCCAATTGTGATTGGAAACAATTTCTGATACTGACTGGACAAAAAAATACACTTCTTTGGACGAGCTGTCCCCAGGAATGTTCTGGTCATGAGCTGTATAGATGAATCCAGGAATCCATAGATCCAGGAGGAGAGGGATTCAGTGTGGAAACGACACTCTCTTCATCAGTAAGTGCCCTATTCTGTCACTTAAAAATTCTAGAGCCATGTTGAGAGCAACTGAGCGATGACATGTGTGGCAATAGGATGGCAGGTGGGGGGCATGGGGTTTAGGGGGTTAGGCTGGCAGGTGGGATACACCTTAAGGTGAATGGTGAGCAGGGTACCAGGAAGGTGAGGGAGGACTGGGGTATGAGGTAAGTGGATGCATTCTTAGAGTAGGTCAAACAGCTGGATTGGGGTGATGTGCTATCCGGTGGGATTGGGTTATGGGAGTGGGGTGTAGGATCAGTGGTGAGTTAGATTTGTTAGTTTGCGTTAGTGGGGTTGCTGGTTCAGTGAGGTCGTGGTGTTGTGGCAGGTTGGTGTGGAAGGGTGGTCAGTGGATAGTTAGGTCCAGCAGAGTTGGAAGGGAAGGGGGGTGGTGGTGGTGTGATGAAGGCTGCGCAGTCATGTTGGGGATGGTGGGGGATGTTGGGCCCTGGGGTGCCCAGGGATATACTGTCAAGGTGAGGAGTCTGTGGTCGTTTGAGGTTTCAGTTTAATGGTTACCCAGTTCTTCTATCATCTTGTGTTTCCTAAGTTACCCTCTGAAATCTCCGACTCTAACTCAGAGTTGGGAAGTGTGCAGTAGGGATCCAGGGTAGGTACCAGAATGAAATTTCAACTTGCTGGGCAATTCCTGCAGGCTGGCTGCATGAAATTTCCACATGGTCCTGACGCGTAATTCAAATCTCTGTTGCTACAATGGCTTTCTCTCCATTAGAATTTCTGGGCCAAATGGACATTCTAGTGTAAGATCAAAGACCTGAAACATTCACAGTGCCATAACCTGTTGAATATTTTTGACCATTTTTTGTTATTATACTTTTGAATTCAACTGCTAACAAACAACATGTTCCTAAAACGTTAACACACTGCAGAATCAATTACTGGACTTGTGTTTTCAAAATGAAATAACCCAAATATGTATCCACTTAATTCATTCTCAGGATATTGGTGTCCATCTTGTTATTCTTTAATGTGTTTTAACATAATAGAGTGGCTTGAAAGGCCACTTCATATGAAGGGCTATAGTCAAGTAAGAAGGAACCTAGTTAAAGGCAGCAGGCTTCCTTTCATAAAGGACTCAAGTGAATCAGTTTGGTTTGAAACCACTGATAGCTTGATGGTAATTTTTCTTTTAAGATACTCACTTTATGGTTCCAAATATTTCCCAAACTGAATTCAAATTCTTGAATTACCATGGTAGGATTTTAACTCAAATTCTTGGGATGATTATTCTGTACCTATAGATTATTACTCCATCGCATAACCACTACAGTACTGTACTTTAAACTTATTTAGGAACATTTTGTCATTTACATAAAACTACAGATGATGAAGGCCTAAGGTTGGTTTGCAATTTCTACGTTCCTATATTTAAAGGATGCACAGGTAAGGAATTAATTAGATGTGTCCAGAAGCAATAATGTAATATACACTTTCTTTTAACTGCAAAAATATTGTTAATAGCTTTCAAAGGCACATTGACAGCTTTCTAGTGCTGTGTAAAATTAAATTGATTTTTTCTCCCAACATGAAATGAATTGTTTAATATGAGAGCCTAATTATTTTCAGTTAAAATTGGTAAGCATCCCAAAAAAGTCACTGATTTGTTTTGTTAGCTCTTCATGGATACGGGATATTACTGTAATGCTCAATGTACTTACATCCAGTAAACTATGTGCACTGTCGCTATTGTCTACGGTTGCTTTACACATAGCTTGGTAGTCATAAAGTGTTATTCTAAAAAAGAAAAGCAGAATGCTACTTAACAGGAAAAGAAATATAATCACATTTGAAAAAAAACAAAATGTAAAGTATTTCAATAATGTTTCATTATAATTTAAAATAAAGTTTCTGAAGAAAATACAAAAAATACAATAGCTCGGAATTTACAGTTGTGCTAAAGGCAAAAGGAGCAGCGTTTGCTTTCATTAGCTGTGAAATTGAAACTGTGAAACTGACAGGAACTTTCGCCATTCACATAAGTGCTGTTAAACCTAAGTACCCATGAATTTCTTTCATGGGTCCCCTGTGCCTCCAATGGAGTTGCTGTTGAAAACGTCAGTAATGGAAATTTTAGAAATCACTTGAATTGATGTGATCTTGCATTTTTTTTTATACTATTAATCTTGCTGTAAAAACTGTTGAAACATTGTGCCGGATTTTCGGAGAATCTCACATAGAATGCCGCTCCGGCCCTTTTATTTACAAAAAAAGGGAGCTCCTTATTTATGAGAGGAGATTTGGATCATGGTTCCCTCAGAATTGGGAAGGTGTAATTCCATTCTGGTAGTTCTTTTGTAGTGCAGAATTGACAGAAGAAGGAAAACCATGCCACTCTTTCATAGCTGTCAGCGGCTATATTCATACTCCTGACAGCCACTTTGACAGCTATTGACAAACCATGAAGTAGTTAAGTAAATGTGATATTGATGTTAGGGTGCTGGGAGAGTAGGGTGCCAGATGGGTGGGAGTACAGTACCAGATATGTAGGGTTTCATGTGGGTAGGCTGTCGGCTGGTTATGGCTTGGGTGCCAGGGTAATAAATAAGCTTGGTGCCAGCTGCGTAGGATGTCGTACAAAGTGGGGTACCAGCTGGCAAGGGGGCCAAGTAAATGATACAATGTTTATAGAATCATAGAATCCCTACAGCGTGGAAACAGGCCCTTCGGCCCAACAAGTCCACACCGACCCTTGGAGCATCCCACCCAGACCCATCCCCCTATAACCCACACACCCCTGAACACTACGGGCAATTTAGCATGGCCAATCCACCTAGCCTGCACATCTTTGGACTGTGGGAGGAAACCAGAGCACCCGAAGGAAACCCACGCAGACACAGGGAGAATATGCAAACTCCGCACAGACAGTTGCCTGAGGGTGGAATTGAACCCGGGTCCCTGGCACTGTGAGGCAGCAGTGCTAACCACTGAGCCACTGTGCTGCCCATTTACAGTAGGTCAGGGCAAAGCTGGGAAATATTTGACTGATGGGAGTAGGGAGTCTGGGATTCGAGTCCAGTGACAGCGTGAAAGGAGTTGTGGTGAATTTTGGAGGGGGTGAGGTTGGTATTTGTTGGGTCCCTGGGTGTGTCAGTGGTCTATGGAGTTGTAGTTGGGGTTATGTGAAGTAAGAATGGGTTAGCTGAATAGTTAATCAGGAGTTAGACAATATATTAAAAAATAATTAATAACATTTCCTGAGTAACTGTTTTACATTATTTCACTGGAACCCTTCAAGTTCTCCAATTTAGATAGACACTGGGCATATAGGACAGGTGCCCAACATTATCTTCACTTTCCCGGACGATTCCTTTGGAGTCCACTTTGATGGGGATTCTGCAAAATTCCCAAGTGTAACTCCCATATATGCTGAAATAATGACTATTTGGCCATCTGAAAATCTGAGCCATTATTATATCCTGTTAATTAAGGTGTAAGCATGTTTTCAACATCATAATAAATTATCTTTTTTTCTTATTCATTCATGGGCCAGCATTTATCACCTATCTCTAGTTGCCCTGTGAAAGTGGTAGTGAACTACCTGTTTGAACCTTTGCAGTTTATTTGCTATAGGTACAACCAAAATACCATTCGAGAAGGAGTTCCAGGATATTGACCCAGCAACACTGAAAGTATGGGACATATTTCCAAATCAGGATGGTAAGTGGCTTGGCTGGGAATTTAGAAGTGGTGGTGTCCCCATATATTTGCTGCCCTTTTTTTGCTAGATGGTAATAGTCACAGGTTTGGAAGGTTCTGTCCAAGGAGCCTTGGTGAATTTTTGCAGTACATTTTCTAGATGGTACACACTGTAGATACTGTGCATTGTTGGTGGAGGGAGTGGATGTTTGTGATGTGGTACCAATCAGGTGTGTTGCTTTGTCCTGGATGATGTAAAGCTCCTTGAATGTTGTTGGAGCTGTACTCATTCGGCAAGTGGGGCGTATTCCATCACACTCCTGACTTGCACCTTATAGATGGTGGACAGGGTTTGGTGAGTCTGGAGGTGAATTACTCACCGCAGGGTGCCGAGCCTCTGATTTGTTCTTGCAGCTACAGTATTCATACAGCTAGTCCAGTTCAGTTTCGGGTCAATGATAACCCCTAGGATGTTGATACTCCTAAATAACTTCTTTCACCCATACAGGGTAAGTTTATATTTGTGAAATTGTGAAAAATCAAATTTCTATAGTATGATAAAGAAAATAGATTTCCAAAATACTAAGATTTTTTTGAGGTTTATTCATGATATTTCATTTCTACCTGAATCAGACATCTATGGCCCAATCTTTATTTTCGTATCTGTAAGATTAGTAAAAAGTGAAGGATAATCAGTGCTTTTTACTTCCTGGGTTACTGTCAGAAAATTCTTCAGTGATTGGCTACTTAACCTACTTGATGACATCACTCTTTCTGGATGTCAAAGATCTGCTTGATCTGATGCTGGAATGAAATTTATATCAGTAAAGGTGAAATGCAAACCACAGAAATTGCCAGATCTTAGTGGACAGTTTTCTTTGTGGTCTGTGGTGAACACCATTCCTTCATTGCTGACCACAAACTCCAGACCAAAAGATCAAGTCATTGTAAAAAATATAAAATACCATTACAATAATATTTGAACCTTCTTCTAGAAGGGATTCATTAGTATTTTCACCATCAAGTATTTGTTAAGATAAGGAAACTACAACTTAACTCATCCATGTCTTTGAGCAAATAGATTGAGCTGGAAATGAGATGGCCAACTAGACTTACTGATACTTATTTTAGCTCCTAGCTCATGTATTTTAGTATTTAATTTTAAGTCTTAGTAATTAAAATTTAATTGCAGAATAGAGGATTCATCCAATTAAAACAAGCTTGGAGTCTGCAACACTTGAAATTTGGGACCCATGCAGACTTAAGAAAGTAGCAGCTGGAAAGATCATGAAACAGCAGGTAGGGTAAAAGTAGTTGGGGAGCCAGACAAGTGATGGCTGCAATCCTTGCAATCATGACAGTCCAGAAAGATGTCTGTATTTTGGGAGTTGAAAGTTTACCTAGTTTGAAGCTAGTGGGAGAATCAACAGTGGGGCTCACGTTATCTCATTGCAAAATAAAATAACAAGCAGCTTAGCTTGGAAATATTGGGAGAATAACCACAAGAAATAACAGGCCTCCATGGTCGACAGAGGATAAATGAAGGTTTTACCTCTGGAACAACCGGAGCTGAGGAAGATTCTTCAGACAACTGGGATATATTTATGGATGATCCCTAAAAAAGTCAATAACTTTTAAGATTCATGTGTATTGTAAGGAATTCTTGGGGAAGTAAGATTTACACCTGAGTGCATAATGCATGTCATTCTAAACCAAATTGTCAAGTTAATAGAGCTTATTTTGTTTAATGTTTTTTTATTTACAGCAACAAATTTATATTTAATAACTGTGAAAACTTGTGGAATATTTCTATTGGTGAAAATTGGGGTGTTGGATTTATTCATAGAGTCATAGAGGCATAGAGATGTACGGCATGGAAACAGAATGTTCAGTCCAACTCGTCCAGCTGACCAGATATCCTATATAAATCTATATAAATTCTGCCAGGCAGAAGATACAGAAGCTTGAACGCATGCACGAGCAGGTTCAGTAACAGCTTCTTCCCAGCCATTATCAGACTGATGAATGGATTCTCTAGCCTCAAATAACGCTGATCTTGCTAACTTTGATCTCGCCTAGTACACGCCCTGTGCAATGTAACCCGTATGCTTCTATCTAAGTCTTTTTGATCTGTACATCCTTTGCTTACTATGATCTGCCTGTACCGCTCATAAACAAAGCTTTTCACTGTATTTCGGTACACGTGACAATAAATCAATCAATCAATCTATCCCATTTACCAGCATTTGGCCCATATTCCTTGAAACTCTTCCTTTTCATATACCCATCCAGATGCCTTTTAAATCTTGTAATTGTACCACAGTCTACCACTTCCTCTGGCAGCTCATTCCATACATGCACCACTCTCTGCATGAAAAAGTTGATCCTTAAGTCCCTTTTATATCTTTGCCCTCTCACATTAAACCTATGCCCTTGAGTTTTGGGCTCCCCTACCCCAGGTAAAGACCTTGTCTGTTTATCCTATCCATGTCCCTCATGATTTTATAAATCTCTATAAGGTCACCTCTTGGCCTCCGACACTCCAGTGAAAATAGCCTCAGCCTATTCAGCCTCTCCACATAGCTCAAACCCTCCAACCCTGGCAAAATTCTTGTAAATCTTTTCTGAACCCTTTCTAGTTCATTAACAGTCCTGACTAGACAGCACGAGATAGTATAACTTATTGGATCAGCCTTTGCAGGATAATAATAGCAAAACATTTGGGTTTATCAAGACTACTTCTTTGAAACTAAAAACAACATTTGGGGTCCACATTTGCACAATTAAGGACGAAAATGCAGAAGTTGCTATTATTAAGTGTCTGATTCCAATAGGGTATGTTATTGTCATCCCTTATAAACAACAACCAAGTCAAAACCACTGAACTGATGAGAACCTGTCTTTTACAGTATTAATCCTGCTGTGAAAGCCTTTGAAAGAGAATGTAGGATGACTAGGTCTTTAATGGCATACTAATTTCACAACATCTTGAAAAAGGTGAATTTTATATTTGTGGAAAATATCTCCATCCTGATGAAGAAAATTCATACGTTAAAAATATATTTTCTTAAAGGAAAGATGGCTTATGACATTTCAGTTTCTATCTTAATCCCATATATAGATTACGATCATTTATTTCACTTACTGCAAAGTTTTAATGAAAAGTGAAAAAAAAAAATCAGTGCATTTTACTTTCTGGATTCTTGCTTGTTAGAATATTTCCAAATTATTGGCTGTTTACTCTGCTTGTTGACATCACTGTTGCTGGCTTTGAGAGACCCCTTGACTTGGAATCAGTTTCAAACAAAAGGCAAGAAAAAGAGAATACAGGCTACACAAATTGATAGATCTTTATGTGAATCTTTCATTAGGGAAAGTAGAAGTGTTGTTGCTCCATCAATGACCACAAAATATGGACCAATTGGTATAAGTTTTGAGGTAATGAATTGGCTGTTGCTAGTCTAATATTTCGTTCTATTGATATTGATGATCATTCTTAAAACAAAGAGTTATTTGTTAGCATCAAGCTGGCTTGACAATTCCAGTTCATGGGTTCTTCCTCAATTAGTTATTAAATAATTCTGTAATGGGAGAACATCAATCACAAAATAGTGACATCACACCTATGGAACATGAATGCCATAGACACTTCTGTTCAATTTTGAAGTAAGTGAAAAACAATACTTACTAATATGCAAGACATTGTGTTTCTCTCAATAGATGCTGTCACTCCCCTTTCAACAATCCCATCTGCAAAAAATCCTTCTTCATTGTTCTTCGATTGAAGTCACTATCTCATCTTCAAAATTATCCTTTCTCTTCAAAGTCCTTGAACATATTGATACCTCCCAAATTTGTGCCCATCTTTCCCATAACGTCATGCTTAAATCTTTAAATTTACATGCATCTATGTGATTTCTTTATCATTGTAGATGATTCTTACCGTTTAAATGAGCCCATGATTAGTAACTTATTCATAACCGCTCCTTCCACTTCCCCAAAAAAAGTTCCAGTCTAGGAAATAAAGAAAAAGAGTGAAGATCACAGAGAAGCTTAGGTCAAAAGGGAGCTGAAAAGAATAAAACTGAAAATGAATTAAAAAGTAAATTTTTAAAGAAGTGAAAAGTGAATCCAGTGTTTGTCATATTCTAATATGACAGTTACAAAGATGGACTTTGGAGTGTTCATTAGTGTTCAGAAATCACAGAAGAGCTTTCTGAAAAAAAAACTCAGAAAAGCAATCAAGATAAGTTATGTTAATAATACTATCTATGAAAGGACAGGTCTGGGAGCTGTAGAACAAACAGGTGAATTATGTAACACAGCATGTTTTAAAACAGACAAATTAAAATTCATAAAAAGCTATGAAGCAACCTCAACACCAACTTTTGAAATGTTATGAGCCACACATTTATTACATTACAAAAGAGTTATGTTTGTTTTCCATAAAATAGATGGTTCTTGGAGGTGGTATGAATGCCTATCTGCCAATAGAAATTCTTTTTTCAAAAATGTGATTTCTTATAATTAAGCAAGAAATTGCAATATCAAATATCAAATATGAACAAAAATACAATGTTGGACTTAATCACTACTTCATTACAAATAGACTGAATGCTAGAATTATTGCAGAAGCAGAAAATTCTTTCCTATTTGTTAGAGGACAAAACAACAATTATTTTGTGTGGGGAACTATCCACAGTTAAGATTTCACAGCAGGAAAATGTTAAATAAAACAAACAAATGTCTGATCTCAGCCATGGGATCTTTGAATATCTGTTTATTCTGATTTCAAATACCACTGAGTTAGGTTTTCTTCACCTTAATTCCAAGCTAATAATTACTAATCCAATTCATATATATTTCATCTATACAACTAGAAAAAAAATCTATTCAGATTTCATATTGCTAGCAAAGATGAATTGAGCAAAACTAGAAATAACTTCTTGGCCTAGAACTTCTTAAATTACAAGAATCAGAAAGCTCTATCGAATATTATCATCCTGTTAGGTTTGTAAAGAAATAAATAATTGATTGCAGTCTTCATCTTTGACAAGTTTATGAATGGGAGGAGAAGTTATTACAGGGTGTTATCAAAGTCAGCAGGAATTCTGAAAATTATGGAACAGATTGAATATTTTCACAAAGATATTAACAGGTCAGTTAAATGGCATGGCCTATAACAGCTGGTGAGAAAGCTTGCTTTGACAGAAATACACTGCATTCTTATCTTAACACAAAGGCCTGAATTTTCTTAGCCCTCTGAATAATGTGGCCAATGGCAAGTCAGTTGGGAAAATATGGCAAATTTTCCACACAAGTTTCCAACAGTGAGATGAGAATCTCACTAGTGTGTGGCAAAAGGCCTATTTGCATGTATTTGCATCTCATTGGACCTAATCTCACTTTCATTTATCTGTAATTTTCTATTCTTCCATATGACAGAGAGAAACTAGATGGCTGCAATTCCCAACATGAAAGTCAGAGCATGTAGTTGGCACCTCCAGCTCGCTGCTTGCTTCTCCAGGTCTCCATCTTAGACAGCAGTCACCAACATCTTAGAGTACACTTCGTGGGCATTGACCACTTATATCCTTTGTGCAAGAAGCTTGGCATCAGACATGTGCCAACCTCACCATGTCATCATGGTGTATCTCTGACTCACTTAGAATACAGTTCTCTACTTCAATACTTGGACCGTACCAAGAGCTTTCATTTTAATGCTGCTGGCAGGACTCTTTAGGCATCGACACAGACACCCAACTCATGCTTCAGAGTGGGGTGTACCTCAGGCTCCTTGTTTGCTTTATTAGCACATAATCACTTTATGCCTACTTGGATACTCACATTACCCCTGCCATGCCTTGCCACCTCATTTGGAACTCACAGGCCTTCTGTCCTGTGTTGCGTTTTAACACAGAAAGAAGTGCAGACAACTTGCCAGCAGTTATCAGTCAAGGGGGTGGGCATGTTTTTAGACAGCAATACATTACATCAACAGGTTGCATCAGCAGTTATGTGGTAAACATACTGAATGTGCTGTAACCAAATGGCCATATATCAAAGTCAATGGGGAGTAGCTTTCAGTCAACTTGATGGTGATTGTGAACTGCAGATGCTGGAGAATCCGAGACAACAAGGTGCAGGGCTGGATGAACACAGCAGGCCAAGCAGCATCACAGGAGCAGAGAG